GCACCATCCAATAACCCCGCTTGCCAAATCAAATGCTCTATATTCCTACTCTCGGATGATTTGCATGGAAATAGCGCTCCGGATCTGCCAATCCGCGTATTTGATGCCTGAAAAATCCAGTAACGCCATCGATATACCAGTTCAGCAGTCAGAAACAGATTTCCGCCGGCTGACCGTCAATGGCTCCGGAAGTTTTCGAAGTGTCCCCATCCAGAGCGCCTTGGTCATAGGGCTCGAGATTATCAACCAAAAGGAGGCTGAGACGAGAAATAGACCCACGATGCCCCTAATGATCGAGCCTGAGCTTCACAGGATATTCGAGTCGTATGCTGACTGGTCACGTTCGCGGATACGGTCCGGAGAGACAAACATTAAAGGCCACTCGATTGGGGTCTTGCTGCAAGCCCATTTCGACGCCTTCGACTCCGACTTGACCGAAGAAGAGACCGAGAAACTGTTTGAAAGGTCATGTAGTGAACGTGTCACCGAGTGCCTGGGCTTGCTTCGAGAGCTGGCCGGAATCACCGTTCACGAGGAGAGTTTCGACGAGCTGGAGTTCCATGATACTGACATGGACTTTGATTTCGGTGCAGGCCTGTTTGGTGCATGGGAGTGGGATCCTATGGATGGCGTGTTCTGATACAAGATACAAGGCCAAGCAAAGATATTGTTCTAAAAGTAAAAGGATCAAGACGCCTATTTAGGCGTTGATTTTATGGTGGCACGCTAATATTGGCAACTGTCTAAGAGGCGACAGTGTGATGAATCTAAAGCTTAAGTGGATTGCTATACGGACATCCGAATGGCTGTCGTCCTCGTTGGTGATTTCTACGTCTGGGGAGAGCGCGGTTGGCGAAATGTAAGGCTGGATCTACGACAACTATGCGTGTGATGTGTCAACGACACTCGTCTCTACTGCTACAAATCGTGCCAGTCTACAGCATTCGCCCTCCTACGAAAATGCGCCTCTCCATCATACGTGTTCTGCCGCGCGCAGCAGGTGAGTAAGCTTAGATGATAGCCCTCACCTTTCTCCTACATGATTATTAACGTCGTAGTAAACAGCCATCGGAAAGGTCCCGAGAAGCTCGCGACGCAGATGGCTGATCTGAAACTGTCGGCAGGCGTCTATAATGCTCGGCACAAATCGGGGCAATGTTGAGGCTGTCGAGTCGGTGGGCAGTTCAGCTCCTGTGAATAATTCGATAGCATGGAAGCTCGGTTCCTCGGCATTGGGTGTTCGCGCTTGGATTGAGACCTGAAGAAGAGTCATTAGTCAGAGCTCAACAGGGGCATGAGATAGCTTGAGGAGTGCGGAAAGAACGCGAAATGTCAGATATTTTGTTGTTAAAAAGCTTGTAATCAAAGACTCGCGAGCGAGTGTCATAAGCCGCGGTATTTCACAATTGGAAACGATCATCAGGTGCTTGAATAAGGAAAGAAGACAATTAAAGGCAACCTACCAGCTGTCATGATGTCTATGACTGAGCACACAGTCTTCCACGGTCGCTTTCGAGTGGTGATGGTGAGTTTTCTGTATGACGGAAGACGAAGATATTTCCATGACAGGTTTGAATTCCCTTGTGACTAATCATCCCCCGGGCTTTAGCCGAACAAGGGTGCCAGTTCATCCGACCGTGCATGATTGGAGTAACTGGGGGTTTCATTACAAATTGTACATTTATATGCACATTTGAGCAAGTCTATGCGGAGCTTGGCGTTTGTCACACCATGGCGCACTCGTATTCTCCTTATCTCTCTGTCTCTCCTCTCTTTATTTGGAAAGTAGCTAGAAGGTAATTTCCTAAGATTAGATGCTCGTATAATCTATGCTTACCCATTCTAGGGTTCAAAATTTATATACATGGAAAACCTCAGCCAATGCCAAGTAGAGTAGAATTAAAATCATTCACAAGAAGAAATCCCCAGGTCACAAATCAGGGGGTGAGTCAGCCAGTGGGTAGTCAACGTGATCAGATGTACCACCAAAATATAACACAATGATATAAAAGCAGGAAAGTTCAGTGTCTTCATCATCATGTGCGTTGCATGATGTTCAATGCAATTGTGGATCGGGAGAGCATGATTGGCCTCATCCCTGCCGAGGAAGCCATCTGGCATGGATGAATGGGGATGCTCGCATAATACAGCATTGCTGTCGATAATTATTGTCCCTGTTATGCGACGTCTACATTCATGGGTATCGTGCTATTATCATTTTACTCCTTTAAGCAAGGCCGCCACACCCACGAATGATGTGTGATCACTACTTCACACCAAACTCTTCTTTTCAGCAATATATTTCGTCGCCGGTAGATCATTGAACAGAAGGGAAGGTGAATTCGATGAACTTTCTTAGGATGGTTTCTTGTATTCCATGCTGCCATGTTTGTATGGATGATGTCACTTCAAGCGAAATAAAGCCGCGACAACTCAAACTCACTAACGGTAAGCGATGGCGGACATCGCGAGTCTTAGAGGCGCCGAGACGATGGTCCCGACGGCCTGCTTCGTCACTGTTCAGCTTCAACGATGAAAAGCGGTTCACTGGCTTTGATATGTTCTCTATCCTCGCGACTTGCCCAGAGGAGCATCCAGCACCGGAGCGATTGAGTGCTTACTTGATACCACACTCTCCCCAGAATCTCGATCTCATTGGGAGTTCATTCAGTTCAATGTGCTTGGACGAAGAAAACAGATTCTCTTTGCACGGATCCAAAATGCAAAACAAAGAGGGTTTAGATCCACACCGAGGCGGGTTGTTGAACAAGGAGTATCAACCTCTTCCACTATTGGAGCCAGACCTCCTTTCCTCCTCGTTTGGCGGCACGAATGAGAATGAAGATCTGCCAGTTCAATCTATGGCAAACCGGCCTCTTTCAGTGGTATACGAATATCCGGAATCGCATACACGCTCTCTTCGCCTCAGTCGTCTTACACAATTCAGTTCTTCATCCAGCAATCAGGCAGAACAGACCAAAAGAGAACCAGAATTATATTCAGGAGACCTGAAAGTGATCAACACGAGGTAGAAGTGGCTTTTCACAAAAGCACGATGTAATGGGAAGGGACAAATCTTTGGATAAATCAGGGTTAGAACTAAATCGAGGTTTAATATACTAATATATGGTCGTTCAAGGCCTCAATCGAAGCTCTGCAGCCCCCAAAATGGCATTAATTGACCAATACTTTCGGTACTGGTTGTAGTATACCTGCGGTCTCAAGTGAAGGGTTTGGCGTGAAGCCTGCTCTAAATCATCTCGAGTGTCTCAATGAATAACGTGAAAGCTATATCGTATTTAATTTCTCTATGCCTACTGAAATCTTTACAACCTAGGAGATGTGCACTTAACCAAGTAGAAATAGACTACCCTATAGCTTCAACCCAACATCAATGGCATACAATACAACAGCTCGCATAACCTCTGTACAGTGATACCAATACCATTATATTTAGCTTTTGTAGATAATTTAGACTTCGTTGCATTAATTAGTTGAAGTAAAGGCAAGGAAGCATTATAGTAGGTTAATATTGTTCGAAATCATCAGTGTATCTGCTCATGGCTACGTCCACCATAAGGCATTCATATCTATGAAACCATCACGTAGGTAGGTAAAGTTAACCAATAGAACTCGAGATTACACCAATACATCTAGAGATAAACCGACTTCAAAGAAAATATACAGGTGCCAATAAAGTCCCATGGGCAGTGGCATTCTCATCACGTGATGCCCTCGGCTATTTCATTGTTGTGAGGCGGGGCAAGAATTGCGCTACATGACGTGCTCATTGAGAAATTAGTCAATGGAGGATTGAATTCATCATAAACAATTCCCCGGAAGAAAATTGAATAGAAGATAACTCCACGGCTTGTCCCTTCAACATACTCAAGCTATGACCATTGTTACCCGCGCTGCAATGTCAGCTCCCCAAGATGACCTGAAAACTGTTGTTGAAGCTCGAACTCGGGAGTGGCATTTCCATATTTACTACTTACTGCAATCACCGACGGAGACAGCTGCTGCGCTCGCTCTTCGCGACGCTGTCTTGAGGTTACGCCGCGATGGTAATTGATCCCGATTGTTACATCAAGATTATCTTCTAAGCTGTTAATAGGAGCTTTTGTTGCCGTACCTCTGTTCCGCGTGAATGAGTCCCCGATTGGCCCTCATCCAGCTGGCTCCTATGAAATCTGGGTCCCTGACTCATCCTTTTCTGAAGTGTTCTTCTACCTGGCGGCAAATCGCGGAAACCTAAGGTGAGTCTTGCTGCCTACCGATATGAGATATCCCAATTCAATGCATTTCAAGATTTACAAGGCTGGTTTCTTCATGGCTATGTACCACAAGAACCCACTGGACTTAATTTCTAATCTTGAGGACAGTATTTTGGTTCATCCTCTGACTACACGCCAACGTGAAGATCATGAAACGCGTAACGCTTGGATGGGTACACCCTGGCCCATTTACCTGGATTCCTTGCCGCGTGATGGACCAACGCCCCTCCAGTATCCTGAACTGGGACTCGGGTGGTCTACCTCACCTAATCAAGAAATATCTCTTGAGGAAAGGCGCAGAAGGGGCGCAGAGGTCGAGAACATATTGGCCAACGATGCCGAGGCAGCCCCGGCCCCTAAGGTCTAAAAATAAGACAGACATTGTTAAATTTATGGCAACTAGTAGGATATTGGAAACTGCGGTTATAGCGTGAATAGTGTTTATTGGGCTATCATCTAATATCAACACCTGTGAGAAGTAGATCCTGAGCCCACTATAGCCAATCGTACATCGACAAAAACGGTTTCCCCCCCGAAGCTTTTTCTCCATTTTCCAGAAGAGTTAAATAATGCATCCGTATGTCTTACACATCAGAAAGGTACTCCAAATTTAAGATCTAGTTTTAGAAGCCCTTGCCTAATGAGTACTGCGTCCCCAAGTTTTCTTCACCAGAACAACAAATTCATGCTCGAACCAAGCAAGCCTGTTAACCATAACATGATTTAAGAGCTGGTGGTTTCACTCGAGGATGGAAGAGCGCTGCCGGTGCCGGATGGAGGTGCTCCTGTGCCAGAAGGCTGAGATCCAGTGCCGTTGCCAGAGCCACCCTCACCAGGGCTGCCACCGATTTGTCCACTCGTAGCGTGGCCTCCAGTCTCGTCAAGGTAACCAGCTATCAAAGGTATTAGTAAACATTGCGGTATACCATCGATGAAGCAACATGATCTTTTCTTACCGATGTTATAGTAATCGTCTTCGGAGTAGTCAGCAGTTGCGTTGAGGCCAACTTGGATCCAGGCGAAGAGGCCGTCCTCAATACTGTCACCAAGGTAGACAAACTGGGGGAAAGGATCATAGCTCTCATCGGCCTGAACGATCGTCCACATGTCCTCATCATTGGTGGTTATGCTCTGGGTGTTGAGGGTGTAGGGATAAGTTGCCTCGACCTCCTCGCGTAGATCTTCGGGCCAGAAGAGTTGACCGTTGTGTGCCATGGGAGCATCCCAGACCTGAATAGTCCCGTTGGGGCTCAGGGTACCGTTGATGTGGGCCAAGATATGGGTGTGGGTGGCACGGCCGTCGTAGTGGCCAGGGAAGATCGTTTCGAACTGGACGACACCATCATGGTCGGTCAGCTGGATTCCGCGCAGATAGGTCGAATTGACTCCATCCGCGGCATAGTTTCCGTCAGTGGAGATGCCACTATAGATGCCAGTAGCGTTACAGTTCCAAATATCGACGGCGACGGTCGGAATTGGCTCGCAAGTGTTGACGTCGATGTACTGGATTTCCAGGAATAGGTCAACGCCTTCACTCCAGAGGGACTCCTTGACATTTGAACGCATGTACTCGCCCACGATGTAGTAAGGACCGTTGGTAACCTCGGGTGCCAGGATACAGCTAGTGTTGGCACCGAAGATGTCGGCGATGGGAGTGAACATATCATAGTCAAGGGAGCCAGTCTTGTTGTGGTTGATCGTCTCCCAGCTCTGGAGGTCTTCCAAGTCCCTCTTTGCTTTGCGAGCCACTATTTGGAATTTATTAGTCTGTAATACTCAAGATAGGAAGCAAGGGTAAACCGACTTGACTTGATTCCACGTTTGCTTCGAAGCTCGTTGACCTTCTGCATACGACGACTGATAGCACGCTTCTCACGTTCCAGGGCACGTGGTGAGTTAGAGCATTGACTATAGGAGCGAGCGTGCTGCTTAGCAGCGAAATCACGAGCAACCAGTGCGCGCTTATGTTGCTCAGGATCATGAGGTTCACCCGGATGGGCAGCTGTCATCCCGGTGAGCAAAACTGCGCTCATAAGCCAATTGAGAGACACCATGGTGAAAAACGACTGCTAATGGTAAGAGTAGAGTATTGAGATAATGCGACCAAGGAGGATTGGTTGAAGCTATAGAACTCTTTTTCTTAGCTATGTGGACAATACTGCATTTATAATAAATGAGTGCACTCCTTTCAAGGCCCAACAAAAACCACTATGGATTCAAATCATAGCGTGCCATGCCATACCGGTGTGATGTACATCGACAACATGGGCCGCGTGGCTGGTAAACATGGTATCGAGGTGAGTGCAATGAAGCCGCAGTCTTTCGTAAATGCATGAAGCTGGTTGCGTAGACAGATAGCTGACGTGTCCTAGCAGCGTCCACCACTCAGATATGAGCAATTATGAATCTGGTTGACATTCCGGGACCCATTCAGGGGTCGAGGCGAAGTGCCGGATTCTGGAGCTCTGGGACGAATCTTGGCACCTGATGGATCTGTCGATGCCGCCAGTGTGGGCTGTATTTTACTCCCGAGCCAATCCTGTTCGTAGATTATATCCCGCATTTTCTGATTGGAGAGACCATTAAACATGATCCTACCATAATATCAAGCATATCCCTTGCCTTTGACCAAGAATGAACGACCCCAGCGCAGGCTAAGGCCTAAAGCTACACAAGCGTCCGATGAGGCTTACGAAGCCCGCAATCTTTCTCGTTTTAACTCATCGGTGTAAATGCTAATGCGACAACTAGGTGGGCGCGGGTGAAGCCCTCGAACCCCAGAGCTTCAATCCATAGGTGCTAAAACTTCAATCGCAGACAAGTATTCACTCAGCCCTCCACCATTATGCGTCGAATCCGTCATCGCGTAAAGGGGCTCAATGAAAGGGCTTCTCGGTGGGGGCAGGGGGGGAGCATACGTAATTAAGACCTTGCGCACGGTGGAGAGTGGGAACTCGAGCCTTGCTTAGCGAGTAGAATAGTAATAATATTTGGAGCCTTTAGTGTGACGTGATGACCGGCAGTTACTCTTCTTGTACGTGTCTTTTGCTGCAGTGTTACTCTAGGAGTTTGTATTACGGACTGCAAAGCTGCGGCTCTCAGTATCTGTATCTAAGCTTTCGCCAAGAGACTAGTACAAACCACGCAGCACACAAGCTTTCTGGAAAGATTCGTTTCGCCCGCCTTGGTTTCATCCCTGTTCGGGTTCATGCGCTATTCCCTGCAAGCAGAACACAAAGGAACCTGTACAACTTGTAATTCAGGCTCAGAAGAATTCTAAATGCTACATTGTATGCAATACAAACCCTCAGATATCAGGCAGTTCCGAGGGATAAGGGCGGCTGGCGGCATTCGTCACTGAAATGATTCGAGACACCATCCTTGTCACTACCAGGTTACAGGAATGATTGGGCTTGAGTTGGCTCTCACGGACTTGCTCCTATGTTCAACAAAACTCACCGTCGCCACACTTGATGAGCCCGTTAATTATCCGCGCAGAGATCCGACTGTCTGGCCTACTAGGGTGCTGCAGGCCTTTCCCTCCTCCTACTTGGCCTTAGTTCTTCCCATCAAGAAGCATGTGACCAGTCAAAGTCCACTTTTTACGCATCATCGCTCAAAATAGCAAGTGATTTTTGTATGGCATTCGTCAAGGGGCTCGTAGTGGCTCAAAGCTACTGTTACATTTTGCCGGCAGCTTACGTACCCCCTCGACGTCGTGCTGCATCATTCTACATGTTGCATCCTTGGTGTCTCATGAACGTTAGGCTCTCCCATTTTTCCAATTTTTACACTACCATTAGTGCTTTAGTTTGGCTAATTTTTCTATTTTCTCTCTCTCTCTCTGTTTCCCTTTTTTCCTCCAAAGGGGTTTGTCACATCTGTCGATAAGCATCAGCCTTTGAGCTTCCCTTTACCCATAAAAACATTCTTTAGCCTTTGCCAATCCTTGCATTCTCGCAAGTTCATAATTAGCTCTATTCTACTTTTGTCGTTGAATTGGCAGTGTCTGTCCATACCACGTTGATCGTTCGATTGAGGATTGCTAACGAAGTTCCCTCCCACATCAATCATTTTTTTTTTCAATGAACTATAAAATTTAGCACTGCGGAACGATTTGGAGTACCTCTTACCTAGTAGGATCTATCATAATATAAGGGCAAATCAATATTAGCACGCTTTCGTCGAATTCCATCCGGACGATGGGTTAATTCCGCGGCATACGGGCGCATTCATGGTATGGTAGATGCACACAATCAGCGCTGGAGACCTTTAGTGAGAGAGTGTCGAGTGCAGGTAGGATGTATTTGACATCTGCATAGATCAATTCTGAAGAGGCTGTATCCTAGAGGTTATGTGCGTGATCGAGCAATTTGGATGCATCATCGGTACATGTATATGGCGACTTTGTCTATATTGCTAACATCTCTAATTTGAGACCTAAAACACCATTGCACGAGAGACGGTCGATTGTTGCTAGGGAATGTCGGCGGCGGTTCCTTTAGTGGCCCTTCGTTCTTCCTCTGTTAGATGAATCCCGAAATATTGCCTCAGGATCTTTATTCTTTCATGTTCATCTCTTAACATCCGCTCCCACTACTTATGTCTCCTTTTCTCCATCCATCTAAAGGTGTTCCGTCAACGATAGGTGCCCCATCAATGGCACTGGCGGCGTTGAACTCCGTTCCATAATCATGACCGAAGACCAGAAGGTCATAGGAAGGCTGACTGTTTGAAAATACTCATCATCTGAGGTGAATATCATGCAAGCCAATTTATAGGTAAAAAACTTGATGGGCTTCTTGTTAAAGTAAACGTTAATGCCCGAATATCCTGAGGCAGTAATTTAAAGTCTTGAAAACAGTATTGAGGAATCCAAGCGACCTGGTCGTCGATGCGATGCTCATAGATCCAGACACACTGGTCCACACAGGACCTGTGGGATACTGTCTTACCGTACGCATCCTGCTGGACTCGATTACGAGAGAGTCTGAGTAGCAGTATGGGAACTTTGGCGCCAAAGCACACGTCAATGGCGTAGCGAATGTCGTGAATTGCGACAATATTGAGGCAGTGCGTAAGCCCTGCGTATCTAGAAGATTTTGTCTTACACTCTGGCGCCCGCGATGCATGGCTTGAATCCTAGAGAAAGAAGAACCGTGTGTAAAAAGCAGTTCTTCTCCATGAAGTATCCTCCCCTTCTACGCTGGCGGACGATGTTATAGAATGGCCGATCCGGGGCCACATCGATGACGCAATGCCAGAAATAATGCAACGCCAGGTTTTCGGGGGGAATGTGCATTATTTGGTACTTCTGCAAGAGAGCGAGGAGTTGAAATTGCGCATCAAAGGGCATTCCGGTAAGGTCAAAGCATCGCATTGACATCAGAAGCGTTATCCGGTCAAAATACACCTCAAGATCACCCTTGCTATAGATTCCTCGGGACTTCAGCTTCTTTCAGATTAAAAACAATGTCGTGTGTACTTAGGCGCCCTGACCGACCTAAGGGTACTTGGCTGGTCCTCGTTATCAACAATGGGCGAATACATCGATCCGAGGTAGCTACTAGCCATAAACCCCGCCTTGTGCGCTCATACTGGGCATTTATGTCAAAAATATGCTCTAGTTATGCAATAATTGTGCCAAAAACTGTGAGCCCCCGGGTGCGGGATTGTCAAGAGCCGCCCTCCTGAGTGGCGTAGCACCCGCAGGTTGCTAGCAATTGCTGATGGTGCAGTAAAAAAAACCAGCCCTTGAAGATTTCTTGGATATTTCCCCCTGATGAGCATCCGCGCTGGGAAATATCTCATCTTCCACCTTGCCAAAGTTCTGGTTTGTGAGGCTTTTGAAGCAAATCTGGCGTTTGAGTGGCCAAGAGAGCGTTATCTACGATTCCAGGTCAGATGACCGTTGCTGAAGTTTCATAGGCTCCCTGTTTGTTTGTACGGAATCGGATAAGTCATAAGTTGGAATTCAGTATTTGTACGCGCGGGATGTCCCAAACTTGTTTTCCTTGTCACTTTTCTTGTTCTTTTCAGTAGGTCGTCTAGGAGTATTTAATGCAGAGCTTCAATCATTGGTTAAATCAATAATAGTTTATGTTTCCATTAGATCATGATAGAGCCCCAATTCAGGAAAACCCCGCATCACAGGAGGGCACTGGATGCCCATCAAGGATCATGGGCCGTGGCGAGGGGTTGGTCCAGAATCCTTCGGGAAGTGGTGGTGGTCCGCCTCGGAAGATGACCGACACGTCGTTTCATGGTCACAGAACCGGATATCACCCTGTGGGGGTTGCGGGGTTTATTGGAGGCGAATCTCATGCTGCCCGCATCACGATATGCTTCGTGCCATCATGGAGTATGATGAGGGAAGGCGGGGAAAGTTCTAGCGCCCAGGGCAGAGTCTTGGCCATTCCATTGGGGTCAGAGCTAGATGTCTCTAAATGTCTTGGCCAGCCGGGCTTCCATGTCATGATCAGCGAGTCAGGCATGCGTGAAGGGCCGAATTGCACCTTTCACCGTCTTTGTCACTCCCTCAGCAAATCATAGATCCTGGACATAAGCGCCCATCTCGCACTTGAGCGGCTGCCAAGCTCATAGAAGCCCCGTGAAATGTTCTAGCGTACGAGCTAGAGCTTTTAGGTGCCTGATTGCGCTGTATACAGCAGTGCAATCATTGCGTCAGATCAATATTCATCCCAGCTAGCACGCACCCAACTGAGACCGACACACACTACGCTGTCTGCTTACTTGTCCTTCCACAGTTTGTTTTGTGGAAGGCAGTGAAGATCACATGAGAAGCTGGGTCTAAAAGCGCCAAAACCAGCCACCGAGAGTCTAGACCCAACCAAGTGTCTTAAGATAAGCAACCAGCCAAGCCAGGCGACTAAATATCTACCTCTATTCTAGAAAACTGGAGAATGACATCTTACTGCAAAGACATCCTTGTCTAGTACTGCTCGGCTACCGCCTTGATAATAAGCGTAAGACGAATAAGCTATCCAATCTTGCCCCGGAATGTCACTTTAGTCCGGGGAGGGGGCCTCGTATCCTAGCCTTTTGCATCACCTGCCTAAACAGGATGTGATGCACTCTGCAGAAACAAGGCATCATATGTTGTCTTGGGGCATCTAGTGAGCTGAATATTTCGTGATCGTTCCGGGTGTCACCGGTTGTCTTGATAGGATCAAACCGGAACGTGGCCGTCAGACTGACGTTGCAGCATATTCACTCATACTAGGAATCAGTGAGACAGATCCATCATTAATCACTGTATGGATTGGTTCCCTTGATTGCTCATGGGTTGAATATTACGAGGCACGTGCGTGCTGTAGAGCAGATGAGGCTTGCTTCGCTTTCGGATCCGAACAAACTTGAACTTTCCAGTGGGCTGCCTTGGCATGACAAGGGCCAGTTTGATGGTTCTCCATCTCCAAATGCTTTCTAGCAAACATTCTGCGCCCGCCAGGGGACAACCAAACCCCACTCATCGAGGCGCTATTGACAGCAGTCCAGGAGCAAAGGAAGAAAACGGAAGGCCTAGACCAGGAGAGATTCCTCTGCGGGGGTCTGTGCTATGCATGAAAAAGGAGGGGATAAGCATGGAGAGATAGCCGAATCGAATGGGTAAGCAGTACTACGTATGAGCAATTTACACTGGACAGCATGGGAGGCAACCAACAGGTGCTCACTATGTGGAACACCATCTGGGAACAGTTCCTCCACAGTCCCACCGAACAGAGTTAGAGTTGAATTTTGGGGTAACCCCAGGTCCCCAGCTCAAACCCCTTCCCCAGATACCCTTCCCCACCTTCGTTGTGGGCGAGATGAGCATTCACCATACGCTCCTCGCTCCCCAGGAAATGTATATAAAACCCGCCTCCCATGCTCTCATTCAAATCTCTTTTCCAACGCATCAAGATCTCAAACACATTGATATTGAAACTTGACCAAGCACTGATATCCTCCCTTTCATCACATTGGCCACAATGACGAATCCCGAGCCCCGGGTTCTTGAGCATGTCAAGAGCCATGCCACAGAAGTTGAGCATGCTGAAAAGCAAGTCCCTATCGTCGAGAAAGTCGACTACTCGGGAGCACACGAGAAGACCGATCCAAAGGAGATTGCTCTTGTGAAGAAGCTCGACCGTTGGATCATGGTAAGTGACCTGCTAGACGTTCCTATGAAGATGGTTATGCTAACACTCGACTGCTTAGCCAATGCTGTGGAGCATGTACTGGCTCAACTATCTTGATCGCAACGCCATCGCGCTCGCTCGTTTGAATGACCTGGAAAAGGATTTGAACCTAAAGGGAGAGCGTATGTCTAACCGACTTCCTCTTGCAACTGACCACCGTGCGCTAACTCTGGAAAAGAATACCAAACCTGCGTTAGCATTCTCTTCGTTGGTTACATTCTGGGCCAGGTTCCATCCAACATGTTCATCACTCGCACCCGACCCAGTCGCTATATGGTGCGTACTCCCCCAATTTTACTTCATGCCCCAGACTAACACAAACTAGGGAATCATGATGATGCTCTGGGCCATTGTGTCAGCGCTTACTGCGGTTGCACACGACTACATTGGACTCCTCCTCACCCGATTCTTCCTTGGTCTGACAGAGTCGCCTTACTACCCAGGTGCTGTTTACATCCTGTCACTGTTCTACACTCGTAAGGAAGTGGCCACACGTATTGCCATTCTTTACACGGGCAACATTCTCGCTACTGCATTCGCTGGCCTGATTGCTGCGGGTATCTTCCACGGCATGGATGGCCTTGCCGGTCTGGCAGGCTGGAAGTGGCTCTTTATTCTGCAGGGTGCCGTCACCTTTGTCATTGCTCTTATTGGTTTCTTCTTGCTGCCAGATACACCTCTTACCACCAAGTGGCTCACTCAAGAGGAGCGAGATCTTGCCTACAACCGGATGGAACTGGATACCGTCGACAACAAGGGAGAGACCGATACACTTAGCGGGCTCAAGCAGGCAGCTAAAGACCCTCTTGTATGGATCTTTGCCTTTATGGCACATCTGCATCTAGCAGCCAATGGGTTCAAGAATTTTGTAAGTGTGAAGCTTGGTGGCTAGAAAGTTATTATTGATCGCTAACACTGCTTTCCAGTTTCCCACCGTTGTTAAAACTCTTGGGTTCAACCAAACCATTACACTTGTTCTGACTTGCCCTCCTTATCTGATCGCAGGAGCTGTCACTATCTTGGTCTCCTGGTCATCAGGAAAGTTCAATGAAAGGACATGGCATATTACAGCATCCAAGGCTGTAGCCACCATCGGGTTTGTGGCCGCTGGCGCTACTCTGAACCTTGCAGGCCGATATGTGTCCATGGTAATTTTCACGATTGGCACTTACGGAGTCAACTCCCTCATTTTGGCTTGGTGCGGCAGCGTCTGTGGTCAAACGAAAGAGAAGAAGGCCGTGGCCATCAGTATCGTTACCATGATCATGAACATCTCTTTCGTCTGGACGCCTTATCTCTGGCCTAGCAGCGACGAGCCTCGGTATCTCATTGCCATGGCGAGCTCGGCAGCTTTCAGCGTTGCTACAGCACTCACGGCCTGGGTTGCTAGGATTATCTGCCAGAGAAAGAACAAGGAAATTAGGGCTCGGGAGGATGAGACCACCAACTTTTATGTGTACTGAGGTAGAATCCGATGGGGTCGTTTATGAAGATGAACTGCTGCTGCTGATTTCCAGAAAAGCGCTCCATGGAGATTCAAAGTCCGGTTTTTCACGATATAGGAATGAAATGACCAAGTTTACAAAAGGAATTTTCTTTTGCCCAGTAACTTAATTGCCGCGATCAAAAACCCACTTCATGTGTCAATGAAAAGCCCTGAGCTTAGAAATATCACCCTTTCAACGAAGTCTCCATGCTAGTAAGGCCCTGGATATTGATGAATAAAACATGAGCAAAACAATTAAAATAGTCTATAAAATGTTCCTCTTTTCATCAGACCCAACAGCATGATGATAAAAGTTACCATTTCTCGGCTGAATCGTAGAATGAATCATGGCGCCCGATATCGGTAGGTTCTCTGGCGGAGCTTATCCGCATGAGGAAGTCCGACAAATAGTAAGCATGCAATTAATCGTCATTTCCCCTCGGCAATCATCTTCTAGCATAACAACTACAAGATATTAGACCAGCGAGTCGACCTAAAGTCCTTCACATCCAAGTTGTCCAGCGAGAGAGAAGCATGGGTGTCTTCTACGAAACCATTCCAGCGACATTGTCCCCATGGATTTTGAAGCAGCGGATGTTCTGGGTTGCCACAGCGCCTCTTTCAGGCTCCGGCCACGTCAATGTCTCGCCAAAGGGAGGAGAATATTTCGGACTCCTTGATGATAAGACATTTTGGTTCCTGGAGCTAACTGGAAGTGGTTGTGAAACCCTCTCTCATCTTCATGAAGCGGGAAACCGACGCATAACAATTATGCTTACTGCATTTGAAGGCGCTCCCAAAATAGTGAGGTTATGGGGAAAAGGTAAAACGAGATCTTCTATCTGTATACCCAACACATGGAGTGGAAGAAGGAAACAAAGAGCCACTGGCTGACAAATCTCATCAGGTCGCGTCCTGGAGAATAAAACTCCGGAATTTGAGTCCTTTGTTCGTGATCAAAGCGTCAACGTCATTCCCGGCGCAAGATCGATCATTTTAGTGGATATTCACCAAGTCGGCACATCGTGTGGCTTCTCTGTACCATTTTATGAGTTCAAGGGTCATAGAGATACCCTCAATGAATACTACCGTAAAAAGGATGAAAAGTTCAAAGGGGGCAACGAGAAAGAAAGCATGGATCTGTAAGCTCGTGACCCTCACCTCCTTTTTGGCCTACACTCACATGAATTCAGATACTGGGCACAAAACAGCCAGTTCAGCATGGATGGTTTGCCTGCCATGAAGAGAGCGAGAGTTGTCGGCCAACAACAAAATGTTGCACAGAAGAAAAAGATGATCGGTCCGTTGGCACCAAAGAATCTCCACTCAAGGGCGAAACTTCCCTCGAAAACAACTATTTTGATTGTCATCACAAGCTTTATTCTCGGAGTCCTGTTTTCTTTCCTCGCCGAAAATATCAAATCAAGAGCTTATGATTTTGGTCAATTGGCACGCGGAGCAAGCGGCAACTCGACTGTCAACTGGGCTGAATTGTGATTTCCCGGTTATATTTGATGCGCTCGGGAAGAACAACTCTGGCATAAACCGAAATGATATTTTTCTCCTTTTTAGTTTAATATATGAGCAACGTATCCATCGAGGCAAACGGCTTTCGTGAGCTGTATCGTATTGCACCTGAATTGGCCGCCTATAGTTCATAATGGAAAGAGGAAAGATCGCACGAATGAACAACACAATGCATCCTGTAGGCAGAGCATCCAGCATGTTGAGGTGACGGCCAAAAATATGAACTCCATGAATACACTGGACTCGGCAGAGCTAGGTAAGATCGCTACTCACCCAAGGCCGTGAGTTTACCACTAACAAAATGAATCAATTTCATTTCATGTAAGTTCTTTTCTATCGTGGCGCTGTTTGCTGGGCCATCGATCCCAGGATCGGGAAGAAGATGTCAAAATAGGGAACCGATGTTCTTTGCATCGAAATACATGGTGTCATATTTCTTTCTATACTTTATCGTATGTGTAGCTATGACCAAAATGGTCGGTCCTCAAGCGACTGTTGCCCTTTCCTTGAGCATTTTCCCTCAGTGTACCTCCAGGAGCATCATAGTCGTCCCAGTAGATCCCTCGTGACTGTAGCTCAGGTACGAGAAGCTCGACAATATCATTCCAGGATTGCGGCTGCACAACCGGTGATAAATTGAACCCATCAACATCAGCTTCCGTTACCCACCTCTCCAGACCGTCAGCAACAGTTTGCGGGCTTCCGACCAGGACAGCTCCGTTGCCGCCGATCGATAGCTCCTCGGCTGCCCGTCTGGGAGTCCATTTCCCAGTGCCCTGTTCCTCATTGAACAGGTTACTAAAAGCAGACTGGATAATAGCCGAAGACTTGCTATCCTCGGGCTTAAGCTCCTCATCAAGCTCGTATTTGCTGAGATCTATTCCGGTAAAGGCACTGAAGATTACGAGGCCTCCTTCAATAGACTGGTATTTCTTGATTTCAGCAAGTTTTGCTTGGGCTTCTTCATCAGTCTTTCCCAGGATGAGTGTGAGGCATTGAAAGAATTTCAAACTCGACGGATCTCTCCCGCGCTCCGCAGCAAGCTGCCGGATTTTGGCAATTTTTGGGGCCAAGGTGCCTGGGACGTGACCGGCCACGAAGATAGCTTCGGCGTGTTTTGCTGCGAACGCTGATCCAGCGCTGATGTAGGAGTCAGACGAGCGGTGAGGTGAGTATTCGGCGTATGGAGCACTTACGGGGATGTACCGGCTTGGAAGAGAAACGGTGTTCTTTGGGGGCTTGGATCAACTATGAATGGACTTTCGAGTTGGTGATATTTTCCCTGGTGCTTAATGGTCCGGACTTTGGACGGGTCAATATATGTCTCGGAAGCCTTGTCCTTGACGACGGCGTCATCGGCAATAGACGACTCCCACAACCTACGGCATGTTAACTCGCGACTTAACAGACAATGTTGTTGGGAAACTAACTGGTACAAGACGTCCATTAACTCATCTGCGGCCGCGTAGCGCTCGTCGTGAGGGGTGATATCGGTCAACCCCATTGCAAGCGCACTGGACTTGTTCCATGAAGTAACGATGTTCCATCCGATACGGCCTTTTGTGAAGTGGTCCAGCGTGGAGAAACGGCGAGCCAGCAGGAATGGTCTTTCATAGCTTGTCGAAGCGGTGACACCGAAGCCCAAGGACTTCGTTACGGCCGCCATGGCAGAGATGGGCTAACAAGACAACTGAGTAAGAAGCCTACTCACATGGTGAAAGCAAGACTTACCACGAAAGGATCAGTGACTGGGAACTCCGAGGCTATCTTGATGGCCAGATCACGACTTCCATTATAGACATCAAATCCCCCAACAGTATCAGCAAGAAAATATGATAGAAACTTGCCCTTCTCTAGTATCTTGGCCGTCTCCAGCCAGTAGTCGAGATTCCGTTTGTCTGACGAGTGGTCTGCCGGGTTCCGCCATTGGCCGGGGCAGGTATGGCCAACAGTGCAAGCGTCGAAGGCATTGAGATAGATTCTCTTCTTGCTTGATTTACCGGATTGACTCATGGTGAAACTGTGATGACTGATGATGTCGAGGAGGCTGTGGACGCGGACTTTGAGGCTTGAAATCAGTTAGATGAGCGCTTAATATTACTCCTGTCGGCCAAGTGCTGATCTGGGATTGCGTCCTATCTATCTTGAACACAAGAACGACTCCACATCGGCCAAGTGATCCTGCATGAAGTCCACGTGCGTGATAATTCACGAGTCAGTCCGATGTCGCTTCTCGGAACTCGCGCGTCAGGTTATCAATATCCGCCTCTTTGAGTATGGCGTGCGCTCAGTGTATGGCTGATGCCACCAGATAGCTGAAGACGTCATCGGATAATGAACTTGCGTCTTGCAGCTACCCTTGTCTGAACCACATACTTGGGTCGTGGTGCGGCTCGACCTGTGGGGCAAAAGCATGTCGACTCTATCAAACCATTCCTTAAATGGGCTTGCTAGTTTCGACCCTGGCCTTATACCCTGAGGTTATTGCTGAGTTCGCCGACCGATATAAAACATTCAATCTCCCGAGGTCAGTGGTAGGTAGGGCTACGGTGTACCCAGCACTACATCTTCGTCGTTTTCGAGGCAACGCTTGTGTTGGCTTTCACCATGGCCACAATCGCAGATCCTGGGGTCTCTCCGACCAAGGGAGACCATATCCAAACGAGTGCTGTTGATATTCGAGATTCAGATCAAGAGGATCATGTGGAGAAACATCGGCAGCACCTCCTCGGCGTAAAGCTACCCCGTTACTTCGACAAGGATGAAGATAGGAGACTGGTCCGGAAACTCGACCTCTTCCTTTTGTATGTTGATCCCGGAAGGTGAATATGGGAATTATCACTAATCTAATACTCTATAGAACCTACACAACGCTTTCCTGTTTCATGCAGACTCTGGACAATACCAACATTTCGTGCGTCGACTCTTATATGCTATGCCGGTACTGGACTACATACTGACTCTATCTCGGCCCCAGCAACGCCTACGTGTCTGGCATGAAGGACGATGTAAGTTCAAGAGCGAATGTTCCAGCACTGGTTTCTAAACAACGACATAGCTATCCCTTTTTGGAAATGAATTGAACTACTTCTCGACAACTTTCAACTGTGGCATTATTACTGGAGCAGGTATGTGGAAATTGCGTTGTCGATTCGGCAAGTCTCTAACTCGACACAGTCCCACTCATGTTGCTTTCGACTCACGTCAGGCCATCCATTATTCTGCCAACCTGTGAGCTCGCCTGGACCTTTCTAGTTATGGGGATTGCTGGTGCCAAAACTGCCGGCGCGGTAAGCTGTTCAAAATCATCTACAATGAAACCTTGGCAACTGACAGGAATTTGCGCCAGGTGTACGGTCTACGCTTCGCCATTGGCTTTTTCCAAGGAATCGCGTTCCCTGGATTTGCTGCGCTTCTTGGCTCATGGTACACCCCCTCTGAGCTGGGTAAGAGGATGGCCATGTACGAAGTCTCGGCAAGAGTGGCGGGCATGTTCTCTGGTTACATTCAAGCCGGCCTTTACACCAATATGAACGGGAAAGGCATGGCCAGTTGGAGGCAAGTCTCTTCAGAGTTCTAAATGGGCCTAGCATACCTCTGACCTTTTGATATCTTTAGGTGGCTCTTCATTTTCGACGGCCTGATTTCCCTGCCCATTGCCCTTTGGGGCTTCTACGCCCTTCCCGATCAGCCGAGAGATACCAGAGCTAAGTGGCTCAAACCTGCTGTAAGGGTCCCAACACTTTCAATCTTTCTTATCTAACCATTATGCTATAGGAAGTCACACTGGCAATCGATAGGATGGAACGCGTCGGTCGTCAGCCTGTCCAAAAGATTACCTGGTCCCGCTTCAAGGGCATCTGGACAACGTGGCATGTCTACCTCTTCGTTATCTGCTACTTGTACGTCTACTCTCTTCTGAAGCTGATGTATGGTCACTAATTCATCAACAGTCTATACGGAGCTTTTTCTTGGGGAGACGGCTACTTCAACCTTTGGCTCCAATCTCTTGGAAAGTACACTGTGCCTCAGCTCAACAATATTCCGACAGCTGGACAGGGAGCTGCTCTCATCAACTCAATCATCAGCGGTATCATTTCCGACTGGTTACAAAACCGTCCAGTAGTCATTGTCGCAAACATGCTACTATGTCTAGCTGGCAATGCATTCGTGGCAGTATGGGAAGCACCAGAGGGTCTGAAGTTTACTGGATACATCCTTATCACCGCCGGCCTTCCCGCTCAGTCAATCACAATTGCCTGGTTGAATGAGGTCTGCCAGGGCAATGGTGCACTTCGTGGGCTTATCGTGTCAATTGGAAACACCATGGTCTACGCAATCAATGCCTGGGCTCTTGTCCTGCTTTTCCCGGCTGTCGATGGTATGTCGGTCGAACATGAGAGAATTCCTCACTTTATTTAAAATACTAACGCCATTTTAATAGCACCTCACTATGATTACGGATACCAAGTCTGCGCAGGAATGATTGGTCTCGCTATTGTCACTGTGGGCGTGATTCTGTTCCAGATCAGGAGGGACTTGTGAGTTTTCCGACTTGATACGATTGAGCGTTGCTAACCTTATGGTGTAGGAAAAATGGCAAGGCCATACGCAACGATGAGGGCCTTCTAGAGTTCAAAGCATGGACCGCCGAGGATCGAGATATTCAAGAAGAGGATTCGCCAAACTCTAGCCATGCCTAAGTTTGGAAAGAATTAACACATGGCCAGCGTAAATTCCTATGGATGATATCACTATCATCGATATACCCGTTGTGTTCTTCTTCCTCCTACACCCTGAATATAGCTATATCTAGAATCGTACACTTAATTATAACAAGCCTGCTAATCCGACGACATCTTGGATTGGGCCCAGATGATCATGATCACTCTTTATCCTTGATGTCGTCCGGCACTTCCGAGATATCGATCCCGAATTTCATCTAACGTTCTGATGCTATACAGTGGCTACATTGGCTAGTAGCACTACAGATATTTCATTATCTGATGTCTTTACAATCCAGAGTTCAGCGGTCGAGCTAGTCCGGCCAGTTTCTTATCCAGCGGGTCTGGCTAGCAAGTGGAATTTGCCGGCCTCTGAAGAGGAGTGATATTTTTTCCAACTGGTTCCTAGAGAAAAGGAAGCCGGAGTCTAAGTATACACGCAACATACTTTGAATTACCACCGGACACATATTATTCAACTCCGCTGAAACAAGCACAGCTAGAAAATGTATGGTTAACTTATTAATTTGTAGAGTAAAAAGACTATCCACCTCATGATTCTATCAAGATCCAAAAGGTAGTCAAGATCACCCCCTCTTTAGGGAGCGGCAAATTCCACATGCAGGGTCCCGCCCTGCCGGTAGTATTGGGAGATTTATCAGAAATTGTCCGTTTTATGGTGGAGAAACACATGCTTCAATTGGATCTAATGGGTGTAATTTCCTATCAGGGAGCCGACATCGGTTGCCAAGCGATGGCATCATTTGATCAGTTGATTCGGAAATGGGGCCAAGAGCAAGGTAGTTCCCGGTGAGTTGGTCTTGCTATTTGGGTTAGTAATTGAGGTCCTATGAAACAAACACTCACATTACTCGTGAGTTTACGAAAAAAGCAAACGGTTTTTAGATTGCCACTTGCTTGACATCGGCGAAGCTTTCAGGTATTTCATAGTTTTGGCACAGATCCTAGTGGGTGGAATAGTTCAACTACCTCATTTTCTCGTTGCTCCTCGCCCCGAAGGTCCAAATGCCGATAATAATTGGGATAGACGTTGGTTTGTATCCTTAACATATCCTCGATAAGGGACTCACAGTAACGTTTTATACCAGGGGGTACCAACACAGATGCCGTGGCCATCGATCTTACTTTGAGCGAGACCAAGCCCGCACAAAGCATCTTGAGTACGACGAAAACTCCTACTACGCCTGACACCAGCCTTGGCATCAACACAGCTCTGAGAAAGATATTGGGCGACCTCCCAGAAAAAGCCAAGGGGGATGTTATTGCCGTCAATGTTGGCACCACGGTTAGCTTGCTACATCCCAAACAACTGAAAATTTATCGTACAACGGCACTGATGCCCAGTTATAGCACTTCCTTAATTCTGTAATTGAGAAAGACAGCAGGAAATTAGCCAAGGTCGCCGTGCTGCGCCTTGGTGGACCATATGGGAGGGAAGTGCCTCCATCCGCCGGCCTCCCGAATGACTTAAGAGATATTGTTGAAGGGTTCAGTGCAACGCTACCAGGCGGACTGGAAAGTGCGGTGAATGACTCTTATGTTTTATGCAGCAGGTTGCTGATTGCAGATCTTATTAGTTGATGGGCGAGAAATAGAGCCCGTGGATGAAGCTGTTGTCAGAAAGACAGCTGAAGAGATCCAAGCCAAGGGCATCAGGAACATCGCCATCATTGGCATCTATTCCCCCATAGACACATCCCTACACCAAGAGGAGCACGTTTCTGGTATTCTCCGCTCAGTCCTTGGAGAAGATATAAACATCACTCTCTCTTACAAGGTCGCCGGTATAGGCTTTATCGAGAGGGAGAACGCCACGATCCTGAACGCCACAATTTTGCCTTTTGCCCGGAAAACAATCAACCAATTTCAACGATCAATCCGCGAACTTGAAATACCTGCAAAACTGTGAGTTGACTTGCAAGCTCAGACCTCTCTTTTGCTGACACCTTCCTTAGATTTCTCACGAGAAATGACGGTACCCTTATCAGAGCAGCAGATGCTGCAAGCCTGCCCGTATCGACATTTCTATCAGGCCCAACAAACTCTTTAACTGGCGCAGTATTCCTCGCAAACACTCAAGGCCGGCTTGACCAGGGCGCTCTAGTCCTAGACATTGGTGGGACAACGTCTGATGTCTGCGCAGTAGAGCCAACAGGATTGCCGCGTCCAGCGGCTGCAGTCTCTTATTTTGCCGGCGTGAGGACCAACTTTGCGGTCTCAGATCTCCGCAGTATTGGCCTGGGGGGAGGCTCCCTTGTTCAAGTGACTGACTCGGGTGAAGTAACTGTCGGACCTCGATCTGTAGGAAAGGACCTCAACACTGAGGCACGAGTCTTTGGAGGCCGAGTTTTGACTGCCACGGACATCGCCGTATCCTCCGGGCTGGAAGAACTGGGGGATAAGTCGTTGGTTTCAGATATTCCGGCGTCTGTGATCTCGCAGGCTAGAAAGAGAATACAAGTTTTGCTGGAAACAGTCATCGATGAGATGAAGACCGCCCCGACGGATATTCCCGTTATCCTTGTGGGTGGAGGCAGCATCCTCTGCCCAGAGTCCGTCAAAGGCGTGTCCGAAATCTTGCGGCATCCACTCGCCCACGTTGCAAACGCAGTCGGTGCGGCGATGGCCAAGGTATCTGGATCTTCCGACGCAATCGTGCATCTCACCACCAGTCAGTCAGAAGAGCAGGCAGTTTCTCAAGTTCGAGAGCAGGCAATCCTCAACGCGCGCCTCGCCGGGGCTGAGGACCCTCAGATTGTGGAGGAAACTATCTTGCCAGTGCCATATACTAACACGAGATCATCACATATCAGTGTTCGGGCAGTTGGGAGGTTGTCGAGGACTGGCCAAGACATTTTGAAAGAGGATTCCGCCTTGGTCAACAGTAATGGAGATCTCGAGGTGGATGAAACAGAAACAGCTTCTTCGTCAAGTCCAGAGGCTGCTCCAACGCACGAGGGTGTGTCTAAAGATACATTCGACATTGCGTCCTACCGCCCAAACATCAAAAACAGACGATGGCTTCTTTCTCCGCTCGATCTGGACTTCATCGCGGAAGGCTGTGCGATCCTCGGTTGCGGCGGTGGAGGAGATGTCTACGCAAGTCATCTCAGTGCTAAGAAAAATCTTGCCCACGGTGGCTCGGTAGAAGTCATCCCCTTGGATCTGCTACCGGATGATGGTGTCATCCCAGCAGTGGCGGTGATGGGCTCACCAAGTACATTTTCCGAACGTCTCCCCTCAGGTGAGGAGCTGAAGAATTCGGTGACCGCTGCCTTGGGATCCCAAGGGCTAACCATTAAAGACCTCACTGCAATTATGAGCCTCGAAATTGGAGGCTCAAATGGTATGCGTGGTATCCAAGCTGCTCTCTGGACCAAAAAGCCCCTTGTAGATGCGGACTTTATGGGTCGGGCATATCCAAACCTCTGGCAGGTTACGCCCAACAACGCCGGTATCGTGCTAACCCCGGCAGCCGCATCAGATGGCAAAGGAAACACTGTTGTGCAGGTTCGAGCGAGCTCCAATCGCGAAATCGAGGCCATGCTGCGTGCCGTGTGTGTGCAAATGGGACAGGCAGCGGGGATATCGCTCGGCAAGCTGACCGGCCATCAAGTCAAGCAATACGCGGCCCAGTCGTCCATATCCCTTGCATGGAGACTTGGTCGAGCCTCGCAGCTGGCGAGACTAGAAAAGCGAGATATCGTGGAGAGCATACTAGCAATACACCCTGGACGGAAGCTCTTGACCGGCAAGATCACCAGCGTTTCCCGCCATGTGCGAGATGGTTTTACGGAGGGATCTGCGAAAATTACACCGTTTGGCGCGTTTGGAGGAGAAGAGAAGTCATCACTAGCCACCAAGGACATCAAGGTCGATTTTCAGAACGAAAACATAGTTGCATATCAGGTGGATGGTAAGATTACCTTGGCTAGCGTCCCTGACCTAATATGCTTGCTCGATGCCGAGGATGGCAGGGCGCTGGGCACTCAGGACTATCGTTATGGATTACGAGTCCACGTCGTGGTTCTTGCTGGTAGCTCACAATGGACAACAGGAGAAGGGTTGAAGAATGGAGGACCGGAGGGTTTCGGGTAAGTCACATGTCCCCCTCACAGGCAAACCACTAATACAATCTTGTCATAGGATGGACATCAAATACATCCCTGTGGCCGACACGTCAGAGGTCCGTTCTGTTATAGAAGAATGGAACCATTGAACAGAGAAGGATGAGGATATAGAATAGAATTGACTAACATCCGAAAGTTACTTTGAATAGAAGCTATTATTTAGCAGTGTTTATCATCACTTCGTATGATTTCTAACCGCAAAGGCGAAATATATATATCCATAGGCATATTATGACACTATTTAGAGAAACGTGAATAATGAGTCATCAAGTGAAGGATTTAATAATCTTCCCACAAACCTCTATAGTCTATTACAATTACAATATCGTCTCAGCCTACTATATCTAATAGGAAGCTCATGACCTAGGAATGGATAACTGAAGGTTACAGCGAGGTGGTTGTAATAGCTATAGGGTAGGCTAGATTCAACACGATCTGTACTCGGCGGATTGTCGGTACTTCCCTTATGGTGTTCACATCCGCTGATTGGCATGTACTCTTTCGTCTCCACTAGGCAATGCGCAATTAAGAGATAGCCTCACTTCACTTTTGCAGAGGATCTTCCAGCGGGTTAACTCGACAAGTAGTCCGAATGTGGCGTCTATTGGAAGGGGGTGAAAGGCACGGGGCTTCAAGCTTTACAGTCCAGAGTCTAGAATTCCATCCCACGTGCCTGCTCCTCTGTCATTCCCCTGAATTGCTTGGCGAAAGGACCTCTTGGCATGCAGCCTAAAGAGGAAGGAGAAAATGCAAGATCCGCTCGCATTTCACTCAGGTACAATGGGAACTGACTGGAGCTCCTAAGCGAGACAAACATCAAGAAACGAAGCATTTTACCAGCGTGAGAGCACCAATTCGAACAGTGGATGTGGTGAAAAATTCATTCATCATTTAATTAATTGTCGCTCTTAAAGAAACGCAGTTGATTTCTTGCCGAGGTACAGAAATTGTAGGCTGTGCATTATGGGCTGGGTATTGGCTTTTGGCGAGTCAAAGACTCTCATTACAGGAGGGCAGCAACCAGAGCACCAGCAACAATTGTCAAAAGACCCTGGACGCCCCTAGGAGCAGCGCCAGAGGTAGGGCCGGAGGCGGTAGGACGGTTTCCAGTGGCGGTGGCGTTAGCTGAAGGCTGGGCAGAGGAGAAGGTGTCGTTGGAACCCGGGCGGTTGGCTCCAGAGCTGGGCGAAAGGGCACCGGGGACCGATGAGGGAGCAGCGGGAGAGTTACCGCCCAGGGTGGTGGTTGAGCCAGGCTTGGAGCTGGATGGTGCTGGAACGATGGTGACAGTGACGGGCGTGGTCGTCTGCCCGCCCTGGCAAGACTTGCAGGCGACGGTGGTGGTGACCGTGTAAGTCAGAGGGGTGCTGATGGCCGGGCAGTAAGTCGTGTACTGGGTCACGGTAGCGGTTGTGACGGAGCCGACAGGGCAGTTGGTGACCTCAGGTGGGCACTTGGTGATGGTGTAAGTCTGAGTAGCAGTGTAGGTGCTCGTCGAGAGAGGGAGGTCGGTAATGGCAGGCTTGCCGCTGGTCTGAGTAGGGACAGTGCCAGTAACCTTGGTCGAGGACTTGCCATCACCATTGGCACCAGCAGAAGTGGAAGCTGTGCCAGTTGCGCTAGGAGTGCTAGGCTTGGAGGTAGGGCTTCCTCCGATGGGGATGAAGCCATTGGGGATGTCGTCTTTGGGTGGGCAGTAAGGCTCGGTATTACCTCCACCAATCAAGGTGTTGGCGGGAGCGGCGCTGGTGGACGAAGCGCGAACGCTGCTTGAGACTGGAGTGGCGCGGCCCGAGGAGAGAGGGATGAAAGTATGAGGGCCCTCGCAGACGTTGATGCTTGAAGAAGCCGGGGTTGGAGTGGTCAAGCTAGAGGAAACAGGAGTGCTGTTAGCCCGGACATTGACGGCAGAGGCCATGGGTAGGGCCGCCAGAGCAAGATTGAGGAACTTCATGATTAGTGAGTGAATGACTGCAGGCAGAAAAAGAGTGAAGTGTATTAACAATTAGTACCGAGCTTACGCCTGACGAGTACGAGAAAGAAAAGAGTGCAATTGAGCCGACAGCTCGTGCACTTCTTATGTGATCAGACAAGGGACCAGTGCCTGTCAATGAATGTTGCCTCTCTCATTAGTCTGTCCCTGGCACATGGGCTGATGCGTCTCCGTGGCCTCGTTCAGCCCGCTGATTGGTCCGTGGCATCAAGCTCAGAGTAGCTGCGCCGATTTCCTCCCACGAACAGGTAATTTCTGTCAAGATCACTGCGCTAGAGGGTAATTAAAGTAGTGCTCCCACTAGGACAATGTAGAGTTCAAGTTCTCCCTCAGACGTGGTTTCTGTCTTAACCTGTCTGCAAGACCATAACGTAGACGGATCCCATATTGAATGCAGTGGGAGCAATAGACTATCACGTACTCACTGAACCAGGCATGCTTGATCGAGTCTCTGACTTGTATTCTTGATGCTCCGGGTAGGGGAGTGCAGTGATCAGTCAATCCGCTGGGATGGAAACACGTGCATCTAGAAACACGTTCCCTCCCGGCCAGTCCAACTAACGCAGGAACACCCGGCATCGTTCTTGGCATCTTCTGATCGGACGGAGGACACCGAATTCTAGAATTTCAGAACTCCAAGGTCCACTCACCCCGCAGGAGGAACCCGGTGAACGTGTTCCTTCAGCCCATTCGGGATGAGCCATTTCACGTCACTACAAAGGATGTCATAGACATGACACTGGCCAGCAGCCTGTCCCTCGCACAGTAGACATTCCATTCTCTTGTAGGCGAGAATAATTTTTTTGCCCATAGATACACTCAGCTTTACTCTATCAAATGCTGCTGGGCGACAGGGCCCAAGGGGGAGTTGACTATTTACCCCTTATCCACTGACTTGTGATATTTTTCTTCTAGTCATCGCCCCAATTCTCTTCGTTCTCACGCACTAAACAAAAGGAAAATCGGCATTCTCCTTTGAACCAGCACGGCGTGTTGGAAGCACATCGCGTTGGATATACCAGCATACTCTGTGCCGGCCCAAGCACATTGAGGAAAGGACTAGAATACATTCTCGCATGGCAGTCTTGCTAAATCTGGGTAAGCTTGAAGATTGAGATCTTGAATGGACGCCTACTTCCTCTACCACCGTTCCATTGAGAGAGGAGGACGGGATGATCGTGATCGGTCTGGCTGCCGATAAGAGCAGCAACAAATCCCCGCCTTCGGACACGCCTTGACCAGCCAGTGTCTGACCCTGACATTAGTGTGAATTCTTATCAGCGTGCGAATTTATTAGAGTTAATTGGGTTAAGCTTGGTCCACATGCTTACTTGGTAGTGAAATCCATTCGGTGGACCTCGTTTCCCCCAGCATCCTGATCAATTCACCTGTTCTCACTCCTCATGGAAAGGAAAGAAAGCCCCCGTGGTGCTTTTGATCTTAGAGTACTTGCTCTTTGTGCCATCTAGCCGTGGGATTAACTTCGCCCATCTCAGTCTGTGTACCTAGGCGGAAAACAGATATTCTGGTACAGTGACATTATGAGTACCACCTCATACGCGTCGCCGGTCACCTCCGCGAGCTCCAGCCGATGCCTCCAGTTTCTGACCTTCCTAAAATGTCGTCTCCATCTTACGTGCAGGCTTGGCAATGAGGCATGACGGGCCCTTCCTTGTTCTGTCCAGATTGAGGGGCAAACACGTTCACCACAGATATGCTTCAATTGGATCGGCGCGACAAGACTTGCCCAACAAAGGTTCGGAGAGCGGATCGATTAGGCATCTCTCCTTGCTGGCGAACTGTTCCTGGGCAAAGATGCCGGGTCCTGGGGGCCAATCCATCGGGTTTCCCCAGCGGGCTTATCTACCCATTACCAATGCTTCACAGGCCGCATGCAATTAAATGCTTGCGTACTTAAGCTCACCACCACCTCTCTGCAATGTCCCTGCTTCTCTTCTTCTCGATTTGAGACGTGTTGATCACATCGAAGCCGTAGTGAGCAGCGCGAAGGTCCTAAATCGAGGCTTTGACGTCCATCAACCGTCAGGATGAAGCAGAACATTTGTGCATGGGCCCTGGCTGCCGCCAGCGTTGTGATCGCCAGCCCGGAGAAGGTGCACGAGGACTCTCTCGTGAGCTCTCACCTGAGCAAGCGTGGGCTCAATGCAGACGGCGACTATGTGATGTGTAAGTAACGAATCACCCCTTTGCCACGCGACACGCCGACATCCTAACGCATGAGGTAGCTTTCTTCCACGTCAATGACGTCCACGCTCATTTGGACGAGTTCGCTTCTTCAGGTGCCGACTGCACCAACCCTTCGCGTGGTTGCTATGGCGGTTACGCTCGGATCAAGCATGCGGTTGACGAGCTCCGCCCCCAACATGAGGACTCGCTGTGGCTCAATGCTGGTGATGAGTTCCAGGGTACCCTTTTTTACACCTACTACAAGGGAGAGAAGATTGCCGAGACCATCAATCAGCTCGGATTCGATGCCATGACCCTCGGCAACCACGAATTCGATGGTGGCGATGATGAGCTTGGTGACTTCCTTGCCAATCTCACATTCCCCATCATCTCCGCCAATATCCGCTCCGAGCATCCTGTCCTGAACCAGACAATCATTCCCTACAAGATCTTCGAGAAGCAGGGTATTGCCATCATTGGTTGCACGACCCCAACCACAATCAACATTTCCCGACCCGGCCCGGGCACCCAGTTCCTTGACGTGATCGAGCATGTCCAAGCTGCCATTGACGAGATCAAGGCTACTACCAGCATTAAGCGCATCGTTGCCTTGACTCACATTGGATACGACCAAGATCAGATTCTTGCCCAGTCTACCACGGGTCTGTCCTTGATCATTGGCGGCCATTCGCACACTCCGCTCGGCAACATGGGCTCCGCCCCCCAGGGCGCCTATCCTACCATCACCAAGGATACTGCCGGCAATGAAGTCTTCATTGTTACTGCATACCGTTGGGGCGAGTACCTGGGCTACATTGATGTTACCTTTGACGAGGAGGGTCGTGCCATTTCTTACGACGGTGGCCCCGTCCACCTGGATAACACCACCGTCCAGGACCAGGAGCTCCAGAGGCAGATCAAGGAGTGGCGTGCGCCGTTCGAGGAACTTGCTGCCCAAGTCATTGGTTTCAGCAATGTCGAGCTCGTGCAGTCCACCTGCCAAACCGAGGAATGCACGCTCGGCAATGCCATGGCCGATGCCATCCAGTACTACCGCGATGGCTTTGCCGACTTCTCCCTCATCAACGCGGGCGGAATTCGGGCCGCTATCGATGCTGGAGACATCACCCGTGGCGAGGTTCTCACCTCCTTCCCCTTCGGCAACGCCGTTACCGAGATCACCATGTCGGGTGCTGATGTTCTCCGTCTACTGGAAGGCTGCGTCTCACGCGTGAGCAAGTTCAACGGAAACCCTCTCACCTCGGGCTTCCAAATTTCCAAGACCCTCAAGGTCCAGTACAACCCCAACCTGGCAGTCGGTAGCCGCCTTGTTCGTGCTCTCATCAACGGGCAGCCCATTGATACTGCTGCCAACTATGTCATTGCGACGCTCGATTTCGTCGCTGGTGGCGGCGACAACATCTTCCCAATCCAAACTGGATTTGTCCCTCTCGACCTTCAGGATGAGGTCCTCGTCCGGTACTTCAACCAGACCAGCCCAATCAACACCCAGATTGAGGGTCGCATTGAAAAGGTCGCTGAAATCCCCGGTGGAAACAGCACTACCACCACTCCAGTCTCTACTCCGGCCTCCACACCGGCCTCCACTCCGATCTCTACCCCGGTTTCAACTCCAGTCTCTACACCTGTTTCTTCATCTGTCTCTATTCCCGACTCCACGAGTACCCTTCGCACTTCGACTCGCACTCGACCTTGCAAGTCCAAGGCTACCAAGACCCTCAAGTAACCCAACATAGTAGTGTGGCAGGGGGGAAGAGAAGTCTAATAGGGGGATCTGTATCAAAAATAATGTAAATTAATATCACCTAGGTAGAAGAAAACAATATAATGGCTCTCAATACCGTGTGTCCTAATTGATCGCATATTCGAAACCGGATTCGTTTTCTTATCTGGCAGTTACGCCTTCCCTAAACTTTGCGTACAGTATTTGAGACTACTTGGTCTTGGTCTGGAAGAGCGAGAAAGAAGTTTATGAGAAGCATCCCGCAGCATACCTGCCAATTGTTGTCTTTGACCTGCAATAACGTCGGGCCAGAGTCAGAGGAAGCATGCTCAATCCTTCTATGAATATTTTACACAGCGGTTGCGCCTGTTGGGGATAATATGCCGAAGCATCTCCACGCGATTTGGCGTCCGCACCCCGATATCGGACTCTGGAATAGCAACCCGCGATGCGACACTAAATGCAGTGATTTTGTGTAAATTCATGAGACAGTAAACCAAAGTTGGATCGCAGGACACCAACTGTAGGCTGAAAGGCTGATGTCATCTTCGTTTCTAGAATCAATTGAAGGACATCACTCGTGCAGGGAACCAGCCGGACACTAAGGAAGACCCAAGGCTTACAGATTGGCGGCTTCCAATTGGTCCATGCTTTCTTTTAGCGGCATCAATCTGCAAGAGGCTTACACAGGGGATAGCGGCTTACGTCCGCGAGTTGCCTGTCGCGTGGTCCACGTTTGATCTCCCGAAAGGACATGAATGACTCGGCTGCAGATCGTTTTTCTTCCAATGAAATGGTTAGGTAGTGTAAGCATGTATTCTAGCAAGCCGGACTTTCCGTGGCTTGATGGCTACTTGATCCATTGTCGAGATGAACATAAAAGGAGCACTACTGCTCAATGATCATGCAGTTGTCACTCTGCAACATACACTTCACCCTCCTTCAGAACACGAGATCAAAACTAGTCGAAGCCCATCATGCGCCTTCCTGCCGGGTATCTAGTCCTTACGAGCATTTCTGGTGTTCTAGCGGCTTGCATCAACCCGCCACCACGAGTACGCATTGCCGATGGAACTGTCATTGGATTCTCGAACAATTCCATCGACACGTTCCAGGGCATACCTTACGCGGATCCTCCTATTGGAGAGTTACGTTTCAAGTCTCCTCGAGCCCTCTCCTCGCCGTTTGGAACTTTCAACGCCACATCCACACCCAAAAGCTGCCCCCCACACCCCATTGTCACAGATCCCAACATCTTCAAACTGCTTCCACCTCCATTGTCTGATGCTGTGAACGGATATTTTCACACCCCTACCATCGTTGATGAAGATTGCTTGAACCTAGCTGTTCAGCGTCCATCCTCCACCGCGCCAAAGGCGAAGCTCCCGGTCCTTGTTTGGATATACGGTGGCTCATTTCAATTCGGCTCCTACGAAGACTATGACTACTCCCCCATGATCTCCAAATCCGTCGCTCTGGGCCACCCAATGATTGTCGTGCGCATGCAATACCGCACCGGGACTTGGGGCTTCCTCGCGGGAAAGGATCTTCAGGAAGAGGGAAACACAAACATAGGCTTGAAGGACCAGCGTCTCGCCCTCCAATGGGTGGCAGAGAACATCGCCGCTTTTGGTGGAGATCCCGACAAAGTAACTATTTGGGGCGAATCTGCGGGCAGCATGTCGGTGTTTTATCAATCGATTGCCTACAGCGGTGACAATACATACCGTGGCCGAAAGCTCTTCAGGGCGGCGATCATGAACTCAGGCGCTGCTTTGCCAGGGCAGCCGGTTGACAGCCAAACTGCTCAAAGCTACTACAACGCGCTCGTTACTGCCACGGGATGTGACGGAGATGCTGATGGTCGTCTTTCGTGCCTACGTAAGGTTCCCTATGACACCTTGTACAATGCCACAGCAGTTATTCCAGGAATGTTCAGCCCCGATGGGCTCAGGATGAGTTTCGTTCCACGGTCCGACCCTAACGATACCTTCTTGCCATCCTCAAGCTTTGATTTAATCAAAGAGCAAAAGATCGCCCCGATTCCTGTGTTGTCTGGCACACAAGATGACGAAGGTACACTTTTCGGTCTTTCCATGCTCAATAGCACAAACTCGGCCACCCTGGCTAAAGCGCTTCACGAACTCTACCCTGTCGCCTCTTCTGATATCTTCGAGTCTCTTCTGGGCCTCTATCCGAATCAGCCATCTCTGGGGTCCCCATTTGACACTGGTAATGCCAGTCAACTCTACCCAGGGTTTAAACGAAACGCTGCTCTCGTGGGCGATTCAGCTTTCCATTTCCAGAAACGGGCCTTCCACGAAGCCGTAGCTGGGAAGTTAAAGATCTGGAATTACAATTCCAAATATGGCAAAGCGGTTCCTTTTCTGGGAACCTTTCACGGTTCAGATCTGGGCTTGATGAGAACTGGCCAGCCTCTGGTGCCTTATGAAGCCATTGTCCAGTACTACATCAGCTTCGTAAACTTTCTTGATCCCAACAAGCTTGACCATAATGGGGACCTGCTCAACTGGCCACAGTGGGATAAAGAGAGCAAGAAGATGCTTGAGTTTAGGGACAATGCCACGGCCGTGGTTACCGATGATGCCAGGCAGGAGGCTTTTGAATATTTCGTCAAGGTTCAAGACAAGCTTCTCTTGTAATGGCAGTCCCTCGTTTCATCAAAGGGGGGACATACATTTATGTATATGCAATATCGCGAAAGTAGAGCAGAGATAATAAGCAGGATATGTTAGAATTGTGTTCCCGAAGACTACTAAGGAGAAGGCCGAACTATTTCTGTGCCGATAAAGTACGATATTCTTTTCTGCTGAATTTTCATTTCAATCATACATTGAGCGCTTTAAATGAAGTTGACGAAAAGTGGCTAGCTACGATGCATAATATGTAAACACTTCATGCTATTTTCCATTCAGTTTCGGAGAGATGAAGAAGATGGGGCGCCGAGGTATTATATATTTTGCACAATATAAGACGTCTATACAAAATTCTATCGCAAGAGCCAAGACCTATGAATAATTATTTCCATCGCTATGCATGTACATGTTTTTATGCTGTCCACAAAAGATAAACCATCAATGTTTTGTCCTAAGACGACTCGGAGTAGTAGCAGCTCAGAGGGTGGCCGTCATCGACGACCTGGGCGACGACAGGAACACACCCGCTGTTGCCAGCAGGCTGGCTGACACCTGCGTTGACCCAGACGTTCCAGGAGTCAGCGCCGGGGCAAGCGATGAAGCCGGCACCACTCAGGTTGAGGTTACCGGATTCATCAACGGACCAGCCAGTGAGCTCGGCGTTCTTAGGGGGGTTCTGGCCGGGGCGGATGTAGCCGAGCTTGCCTTGGCCTGTGTCAAAGGAGATTAGATCTAAACGTACTCTTCAACGAGGGGAAAGAATATCAAACATACCCATACCGCTGCGGTCAGCATAAAGCTGCTGAGGAGCAGCCTTGGTGGCGTAAAGGAAGAGCTGGCCATCACGGATGTAGAATGTGGCATCATCCTGGGATCCGTTCTGGCAGACGGCACCTTGGCCCGCGAGGTTGAGGTAGATGTTGTTCTGGGCGGCGTTGAAGGTCTTGGAGTCGATGGCGCTGCCAGCTGCCACTGCCTTGACCTTGAAGGTAGAGCTTCCCGCAGGAGCGGCCGAGACAGAGGCGGCGGCGGCGAGGAGAGAGATGCTAAGATCGAACTTCATTTTGGCGATTGGTTTGGAGAATTAGAGCTGGTGGGCTAGAAGGAATTAGGTATTGGGCGGAAGAGTGATGGAGAGGATTGTCTGAGTGATTGTCGGTATTGCCCCTTGATTTCGGTCAGACGAGCTTCAGTATTTATACTGGATGCGTAGCAAAGGATGACACATTGCCCATCCCTACGCCACTGTATTATTACTTCGTATTCTAACCCATGACGGCAGCTGAGGTGGTTCGTGCACAGCACTCTCAAACAACAGTAAGACGCTGTATCGGCATATACGAAGGTGAGCCCTGTTCTCTTCTGCGTTTTAGCACTGGCGAAATCAATCGAAAGCGTCATAACGGCTGTCCTTCTTCCAATACGAGTAATAATTTTCTGCTTCTTCACGTGGCATCATAGTAGGACGACGGAAAAAACAATACGAATACAACTGCCGATCAACTTAGCCGAACGGGGCCGAGACAGGGATACTGCATAAACAGCGTCTCTTGGCAGGTGATGGGATTGGAAATGAGTGCCCGTGCTCGTGGAATCCGCGGAACTAACACGAGCCAAAATGGCCCAATGAATTCTTGACAAGCATGAATCACCAGTCTACTTTCTTGTAGTCTGACCTCAGCCCAAAACGTCATTGCGTTGATTCAGATGAGAGGTAGTACACCGCAGTCACCCAGCAATTGTTGCTCATGGCTTGCTCCCACTTGAAGGATCGTCCTTGGAGGATCCTCGGAGTTTTTTCGTGAACCCCGCGCGCGGTATCCTTCGCGACAGCCGAAATTAATCCTAACCAGGTGCAAGTACATCTCAGCAACGCGCGCTTCTGACAGGGGAATGTTTGATGGGGGATCGGCGCCACCGGCGATGTCTATTTTCTAAACAACGTGACATGGAGGGAGCAAGAGCATCTATGGAAGGAGACCAAGAAGGCGAAGAGGATGAGGGGGTTTCGCTCATCTTTTCGTCCAGATTACATCAAGAAACAGGTGATTGTTACCTTGGGTTGCATTAGGATGATTAGGTTGTTTAAGGCAGAATACTACCTTACTTTCCTTGCTCTTGTGACCGGTGAAGCCCAATCGACGGCATAGATGATTTGGTAACCTTTCCTTTATTTAGTAAAAAATAAGTTATTCATAGACCCTCTTTGGACAGAAAGAATTTGAAATCTATTATTAGATCCGCTTTCAATAGGTGACGTTGTGGTAAACCGTGAAAGCTACATGTGCCACTGTAGGGTAAGCGATTCCCCTTGACCCAGTAGGTGTACTTCACCATGCAATTGTGGCCAAATGCTCCCCTCCGGATGAAGGCAAAGGCTTTACAGTCTTTCTCCTTTTACAAATTAATACCACGACCTGCTTAGCCTGAGTAACGACTAACGTGTTGTGAATCTGGAGTCGGCCAGTTAGCGGATTTCAACTGGTGGACTCACTTGTGAAAGTTAAGTGCTGGTCTGCTACCAATTTTAGAAGCTATCGATGGTGCTTATACCAATATTTGATACGATTGGGGGGACATTATCTTCAGAAAATCTTTGGTATATGAAGGGAAAAAGTTTAATAAGAATTATTTTGACTGGTTATTCTCGATATCAGACAGATCGGTAAGATTCTTAGCTGCCATCAAGAGCAGCAAGTTGTCTTGGGTGAGATGTAAGTGCCGTGAAAGTTGCTTGATGCTGACCTACTGAGGCTCTGTGCGCTGAAACCAAGAAAATATCAAAATTTCCACCACGTAGCGTTAATAAGTCGCACCTATTTACTAACACTATTGGAACGGTGAGCTTTTGAGGAGCGTTGGGTTGTCTTCCCCCACATTACTCTTTATGCCACTGAGGCATATCGAGTGGGTTGTCCTCTCTCTAGAAGGCCTTTTATTGAGATTCACTTATTTTATATACAGATCGAGTGAGAATCTTTTAATGTATGCTGGGAAGAGTGGGCAAATGTTGTAAAACGGATTCTGATTCTTCCCTCGGTAGCAATTTGGCACGGCATCCTTGGTTCACTTGCTGCCCAAACTCATTTCAGGCTGAAACGGACATACTTCAAGGATTGAAACTCGGCTAAAGCGTCCGTGCCCGACTGCCGCCCAAACCCACTGGCTCCAAAGCCACCATGAGGCAGAGTCGGCTCGCCATGTGTCGTACTATCATTGATTTGAATAGTACTGGTGCTGTCAGTGATAGCTCCGTGGTCATGGTGTGAAGACTTACCCAGAGTGTATCCTCTTGGCAACTCGCAGCGCGTTTCCGATGTTCTTTGACCATACACTAGCCGCGAGCCCATACTCAGTATCGTTCGCTAGCCGAACTGCCTCATCCACCGTGTCTACAACAAATAGTGAGATGACAGGCCCGAAGGACTCTTTGTAGTAGAGTTCACTTTTTGTGTTAACAGAGCGAAGGATGGTTGGGCCAAACACTCGACCTTCTTCATCCGCAAAGCTCGCTGGCCCCGAAACTATAGTTGCCCCATTCTTAATTGCAGCTTCAACAAGTGAATTCACTTGTCGCATTGCTGATTGGGAGATTAAGGGTTGATGGTAGGTATTGTCACGAGACTGCGCTGCGTGTGCTGCTTTAAGCGCCTCCACAAAGGGCTCTTCAATAGACCGGAGCACGATCACGCGTTCGGTTGCCATACAAATTTGCCCCCCGTGCCCGTAGGCTCCCTTCAATATTCCACTGGCTGCATCATTGAAAGTGGCATCTTCTAGAACAATTGCAGGAGCCTTGCCGCCGAGTTCCAGAACGACGGGTTTCAAAGCTTCACCAGCGAGCTTTGCAACAACCCTACCGGTAGCACTGGATCCTGTAAATGAGATTTTTCGGATAGCTTTGTTTTGAATGAGGGCTGGAGTTACCAGTTGCCCCTTATCTGGTGCGTGTGTCAGGAGGTTCACCACTCCGGGAGGAAATCCGGCTCGGCGAAAAGCATCGATTAGTAGGAAATGTGTCCGGGGCGAAAGCTCTGACGATTTAACGATGACAGTGTTTCCAGCTGCAAGCGCATATGCGAGAGAAGACATTGTTAGAACGCCTGGGGCATTCCTAGATATTGGGCGGTTAGCCCGTGTCATTATGCTCGGTCATGGATGCTTACCAAGGCACAATACTTAGAATAACACCATAAGGGACCTTGAATATCAAGGCTGTATCATCTATCAAGCACATGAGCATATATTTGGCACATCGGGCAATTTATATACCTAAGAGTGACTTACTACTATCATTGGTTGGGGGAATGACTCCATTGTTTGAGGAGACATGGCTGGCAGCATCTTTGATGGTTGCCACGGCTGCGTCAACGTCCCACGAGGCCCAGCCTTCCCCAGCGGCGGTCTCTTTGCGAAGGGTAGTGACAATATCTTCCCTCGAATCGTGAATAATGTGTGCTGCTTTGAGCAAAAGATCCCGTCTTGTAGTATAGCCTAGGGATTCCCAGGCAGGAAAAGCGGCTTCCGCTGCTGCGGCAGCACCTTCAACTTCTGTAAGCCCTGCGGAAGACACAGCCCAGAGAAATTCTCCATTGCTTGGGTTGCTAACGTTAAACAGTTCCTTGGTTTGGATATTTTGGTTGTTGATGATCAAAGGTACAGGTTCTGACATCGTGAATGGCAAGCTTCTAGGGACTTGAATTATTCTTTGCGTCTGCAGCAAAAGCTCTGAATACCCACGTTAGTAGATGCAGTTAATACTTTATGAAAGCAACCTAACGACATCTCGTAATTTTTGTTGGAACAGATGACGGCGGAGTGGATATTGAACTACCTTAGGCTAGACAGTCCTGTCATTTAGACAGAGAATGGCATAATTGCATGATATGGGCTTTAAAAAAACTCAACGGAGGCTCCTCTTTCCTAAATCAGAGTACATTGAACAATTCTTTTTGTAGATGGATTGGTTCGTCTGTGCAAGTGGATCACTTAGTCTAGCTATCTTGACAATTCCAAATTCCTTGCTCGTAATTCTAATCCTGTTTTCAATTAGCTCGTATCTTGTTTCCTGTCGTAGTGGGTGTATGTTGTAATCGAATCAAGTAGTACTCACTTGAAAATGCCCCTGCAATGTCCCCTCGGTTTCCAAGTTCTTACAAACGATTATATGTTATGAATTGACGCTCTTCCTAGGTCTTAACTTCGTGGGTGCATAAGCTACGGAGGTCCGTCGTAGATCGTACAACATACAGAATGACCGCCATGGTGGAAAAAATTGTATCTGGTTGAGTTGGGGTTTAGCCATCGCGGCTTTGCCATCAGTTCCGACGTCATACAGCGAATCCGTATCGATATATCCCCATTTTGGCCCTTGAGCCTCTCATGTGCATATCTGCCTAAGTTAGTGTATCGCTAACGCTTTCACGAATGCTTTGCTGAAAGTACAAGGTGAAACGAGGCGCGAGGTCTGCTTGTCTGAGGTAAAAAATCTACAGGGGTGATGATTCGCAAGTGGGAGCCAAAATTGCGTGCCAACTTGCAATGGAAACGCAAGTAACCAATTTGGATCATGCATCATTTGCCTAGGTTATATTTAGTTGTGATTTCTGCTTCAAGTATGGCGAATCACTTGACCCACGGTGGCTGGGAGTTATATTTAGGCCGTTCCGTGGCTAAGGATGGAATTTATCTCCGTGTGATGTAAGGCATCGAGCCATGCATGCCAGCTCAATATCCTGGTGAAGAGATATCACACAAGAACGATAACAAGGCTATATAACCCGTTGCAAGGGGTAATTTTGGTATCTTCTTGGAGCAGTATGATCAAGCACACATGTGGGAGGTGTTCCACAACTAAAATCGGTAACGTACGAGCCGTGTTATCTCAAAGATCATCTGCCCCGTCACGAGGCATTGGAGATGAGGTATCTACATAAGGTTAAGGCTATGGACATAGGCCGGGAACAACTCGTCCCTTGGGTGAAACAAGGATACACTCAATGACGTGCTTTGATGGACTCCGCTACGCTAGATCGAATTTACTGAATTATCGAAATGATTATGGAGTAGCCATTGCCCATGTGTCTGTGGAAAGATAATGAGCTCAATGATTATGCTTCATGTTGATATCGTTAAGCTAGCACATTATGATCCTGTAGTATCATGTGGGCCCCCTTCTCGGCGATCGCATATACGGTAGCCTGAATATGAGCACTGATATGAAGGGGCATGATACTTGCGTCAATAACCCTCAACCCTTGGACGCCGTATACGCGAAGGCGATGGTCAACGACGCCTCCCTCAATACCACGGGAACCTCCCATTGAACATGTTCCAACAGGATGCCAATCCGTGATCGTTGTCTTTCCCACCCAGTCACGATATTCATCGTCTGTTGTTATTGATTTGGGTGGAAACACTCGAGGCCCAAGTAGATTAGAAAGCGGCTTGGATCGAGCTATTTCATCTGCGAAGTGGATACTGTGAATCATTGCCTCCAAATCAATTTTTCCGTGGGTGCCACTGTAATATTTTGGATCAATAGTTGGCTCGTTGGCTGAAACATTGCCCGTAGAGGAGTTGATATGGATACTGCCTTGAGAGAATGGGTACTGGAGAACTTGGAATACCGTGGCATAATTCTTGGCATCATCTTGGCTTGGACTAAAAGCTTGGTTCCAGTTTCCAAAATCAAGAATGTACTCGATCTGACCCAATCGTTGTTTTGGGTCAAAACGTTCAGATGTGACACTGTGGCTTTGTAGATTAGAACTAGGAAGACCAGATACTAGCCTAGAGAGGTCTTGAAATTTGCCCTCAGGTAAAGCTTTAACAAATGGCAGGTAGCAGAAGCAACTAGGGACTGCCGTCAAGGGACCAGCTCTGTGTCGTAGATATTCTTCCAAGGCTGCGTCTGGCCCTTTATTGCCACTTTTCTGATCGTTCTGAACCTCAGTCTTGGTTTCGAAGACGATCGCCGCCACTGCCAGTACACGTCAGTTACATGTATCTTGGGGTGAGAAATGCCTGGATAAAGGCTTGTGGAAACACCTACTAATATGTTCCTGCAGATTCTCCCCAACGTTCGGGTTGTCTACTTTGGTTGCCTTGCCAGCACTGGCTAAAATTTGAGGGTTTCCAATACCAGATGACTCAAGAATTTGGGGTGACTGTACGGTTCCGGCTGAGAGAATTACTTCATACTTGGCCGAAACGTGGTGTTGCTGACCGTTGCATGTAAAAGTAACGCCAGTGGCTTTGTGTGACCCATCATCAGTTGCTTCAAGTGTTATCTCATCAACAAAAGCTCCGGTTAGTAAAAAGAGATTCTTTCGATGTACATTCGGAAGGTAATAGGAGTTGGTTGCGTAAGAGCGAGTTTGCTCTTCGGGTGTGATTGAATTGACGCAAGTCCAAACCCCAGTGTTGGATCCAGATAGGTGAGCTTCATTGGATTCAATACCCAGTGAGTTCAAAGCTTGACGCCAGAGCTGGTGAGTAGTTGGGTAGTAATTGGGATACGACACGTTAATTGGACCGGTCGTTCCACTGACTTCGGGGTCAAACGTAGCACCATAATCCGTTTGATGCCTGAGTGTAGGTCTGTGAATCGTCTCAGACTTCTTAAAAAAAGGCCTGTTAAGCACGATGGGTTACAATTCGATGCTTGAAAACAGCCTCCTGGAAAGAAGGCTTACAGAAGGTCATCCCAACCCCAACCGGGATTGCCCAGTTGCTCCCAGGCATTGTAATCTTCCTTACTGCCACGATTCCAAATCATAAAGTTCAGGGCACTGGTACCTCCAACAAGTTTGCCTCGTGGCCATGGCAGAACCCGCCCGTGAAGGCCTGGTTGCGGCACAGTCTTGAACCCCCAGTCGTGCTCGGTCCCAATGGTTTGGCCATAAAGGCCAGGGATATCAACTGTATCTAGCCGATTCACCAGGGGTCCAGCCTCCAAGACTCCCACGTTGAATTGCGAGTATTCAGATAGTCGCGCCGCTACTGCAAGCCCTGCTGTTCCGCCGCCAATAATCAGAAAGTCAAACTGTATTTGAGAAAACTCAGCCGCAGTGATGAGATTTTCTTGGGCAGCCATGGCGGTCAGCTGTTTGTCGAGGATTCAGGGATTCCGATAGCTTGCTTCGTCACCAAAAAAGAGAATTTGTTGCACGTAGTAGTTCCTTCGAAGCAAGGGGTCACACGCTAATGATATACAATGACTCGGCTCGCAAATCAAGCTCCTCGAAGTCTGAGTCAAGCTGTCAGCTAAACTCGCCTGGTGCAATAGCTCATCTTGGCTGGTGGATGCATATGCTGTCCACGTGCCAAACTGTCCCACAGCGGGGCGAACAAATCCATGTTTACGAAACTGTTGACGCTAGTTTGATGGACAAACACGTTGCAGGCCGGCGGCTAAGTTCCAGCAACTTGGTTCATGGATATAAAACTCCACTCGGTCTCTATAAACATCATTTTGCGCCATAGTTGCGCAATTCATCCATACATCTCCAGTTATACTAGATTGGTCAGCGTTGATATGAGAGTGAGTTTGATGATAACGATCCACTATAGCAATTTATGTACTGTTATGCCTTCTTCATCTGAGTTATAAGTGCCCCCGATCGCAGGCAGACGAATGAATCATGGTCAGATGCTGATAACTTGTAACGTTTCGAGCCATGTCTGAAAAGATCACCAACCCGGTAACGGTGGCGACATCGGCTGACTTGGATAGCGAAAGCGGCATACCAGGAACAATAAAGCTCGTTGACGCAAAGAATGAGCTGGAACTTCAAGAGAGCGGTGATGTTATTCTCACGCCGCAGCCTACCAGCGATCCAGAGGATCCCCTGAATTGGTCAAAATGGAGAAAGCTGAAGGCCATTGTGCTCAGTCACTTGTTCGTATAGATGATGAGGACTCACTAACATGCAAAGCACATAGCTGACATACCTTAGGTACACAATTGCGATTGCATGGTCGTCCGCCGCAGTCTATTCTATCTTGGTCCCGATTTCCGTTAGTACAGGCTTATCAGTTGCTGACCTCAATGGCGGCTCGGGGACTATGCTGCTGTTCTTTGGATGGGGAGTACTGATCTGGCAACCAATCGCCGTCACGTATGGTCGTCGTGGGGTTTTCCTTCTTTCTCTACTCGGCACAGTTGTAAGTTACGACGCCTGAGGGATGCTTTTGCGACTATATCTGACATTCAAAGGCAATTTCGGCCTGGACCGCCCACGCCCCTAGTTACGCTTCTTGGGTTTCAACAAGAGTTCTACTTGGACTTGTAGGGGCCCCGATTGAAGTGGTGCCAGAGCTGGTAGTCACTGATCTGGTAAGCTTCATAGGACTTTGTTGATGACGACACCAAGGCAGCTACTGACACAACCTTAGTACTTTACTCATGAACGTGGGTTGCATATTGGTATCTACATGTTTTGCCTCGCGGGCGGAAATTACCTTGCGGCAGTGTTCTGTGGGATAATTAATGACCAAATGGGTTGGCAATGGGTCATGGTAAGTGCACCGTTTTGATATAGGGAAACTGGCTGGAAGCTTAGAACTGATGTCAAAATAGTACTGGTGTAGTATCATCAATGCGGCGGCATTCGTCCTACTCTTCTTTTTCTATGAGGAAACAGACTATTATCGGCACACCGGATTCGAAGCGTCCGGCCAAAATCTGACTGCCACAAACGAAAACGACACTGAAGCTGCAGCTTCACATAAGCAACGCAAGACCTACCTCCAAAAGTTGAAGCTGTTTAGCTACATCAGCGAAAGACCGAATGAGTTTTGGGTCTACACTTACCGACCCTTGGTAATGTTTTGGACCTTCCCTATTGTCCTATGGGCCAGCTGTTATCATGGAGTTGCAGTACTGTGCTTCAATGCATTAAATGCAACCGCATCTGTGATTCTATCTGCAGAGCCGTATAACTTCTCAAGTACCGATGTCGGTTTGGCTTACATCTCTCCACTTATTGGAGCAATAATAGGGTGAGTTGGTACCTTTTTCCGTTCAAGCGAATGATTTCTTTGGAAGGCGACGTGCAACTAAAACAGCTATAGAGCCATCTGGTCTGGCAAGATTAGTGACTACATCTGTCTTCGGATAGCCCGCAACAATAAGGAGGGGCTTAGGGAAGCCGAGTATCGCCTCTGGGCGGCCATAGCGCTGTGCATTGTCCCACCCGTAGGTTTGATCGTCTGGGGCGTTGGAGCAGCGCAGCATGTACATTGGTTTGGCATCGTGTTTGGAATGGGAATGATGGGTAAGTGGTAGTCCGAGAATTTAATCCCAATAACTAATCAAGTGACCTAGGATTTGCTTTGACGACTGGCGGTGGTATCATGATTGGATACATTATCGACTGCTACAAAGAATTAGCAGGAAGCACAATGTCCTCTCTGAACATAATGCGGTGCACAATGGCTTTCGGTTTTGGATATGCTGTCACTCCGTGGTGGAATTCCACCGGTACGCAGAACACCTTCATCACTTGGGCAGTCTTGGTCCTGGTACTCTTTGCTTCTTGGATACCTATGTATATATGGGGCAAGAAACTCAGGATCAGAAGCAAGGAGCGATATTGGAAACAGGTAAAGTCTGGGGTCGGTATTCACTGAATGCGTCTTCGCTGGTGCCCATGGTATATTGCCAACAAGGAGGCGGCATTTTAAACCAAGGCTTCCCTGAGCCAGACCCTCCGATAAATGTAAACTTCAAGTACCACTTGTCTCAAAGACTTGTGCTCTTGGAGGGATAGTGAATATCAGTACACTTTGTTTTTTGATAAGTAGTTTTACTGGAAGCTTTTTTGAGACTGGGATATTTATCTTTGTTTTTCCTTCCCTTTTACCCCTTCCACTCTTTAAAAGTTAAAGAATATCGGTATTGATGAAGATCCCCCTCTGCTAAAGTGGGCTAGAGATTTCATCAATGAATCTTCACACAGAGAAAATCAAGGGTTTTTATAAAGCATCATGGCATGCCACCATCCAAGCTAGGAGCACAATAAGGATCACTCTGTAACCGATGAATGCCTGCTGTTTTAACATTTGACGACGCCAAGTATACTGACAACTACCTATTGCCTAAGGTACTCAATGCCTTCAGAACATCCTTCTGAAACAGCAGGAAGCAATTGCCAGAGGTGGTCTTTGGTTCCGTTATCCTCAAATTGAACAATGTTCGCACTGATGGCGGTTGACATACCGTTTACTCCCGCCAGCAATTGGCTATTCTTGTTGCGGATAAAGAACAATCCGTCACCCTTGGATTCAACCCTCCACAATTGATCATCGGTTCCGCTATCCTCGTACTGTTGTAACTGCGCGCTATTTTGTTTCGAGGCATTTTCCACGGCCAGAAGTAAGCCGCTGTTCAGATTCTTGATCTTCCACCAGCCGCCAGCGCTGAGAACAAATAGCCACAGATGGTCACGGGTACCGTTGTCTTCATATTGTTGGATTTTGGCGCTGTTTGCAGCTGACATTGATTCGACCCCCATCATTTTTCCACTGTTCTCATTTCTGATATGGAAAATGGCTGCTGTCCACACTTCGAATTCCGAAAGACCCCAGCCTGTCCCAGAACCGTTATTAGGAGCAACGATACGCAACTGAGATGTTTTGATTTCCGGAAAAGTGATCTTGGTCTCGACATTGGAGGTGGTTGGCAGGGCGGTGCGACTTTGGTTCGGAACCGTGACCCATTCACTACCAGTCCAGTATTGAAGGTCGTAGCTAGACGGAATGCGGACGCCGCCGGCATCGTCGTAGAAAAACACTCGGACATCACAGACAACTTGATCCCGGCGAAGGTCAATGCCGAGATAGTCCTCTGGATTTGGGCTGTTGTACGAAGTCCAGCGCGTATTTTCAGGGATCCCAGTCCGCCACACAATGCCGTCAAGAACTCGAGCAGCATCGTCAACCGGAGAAAACGTGTATGAAGCAAAAGCATTTGTGAGCTGGGGAAACGACTGTCCATTTGCAGCAATGTTCACAGATGGTTTTGGTCTCGATCGTGATACCTCACCGACATTGACTTTGACTGAGCCTAAGCTGTCGCGACTGTCCGCAAGATCCCCATCAAGGTAAACTCGTAAGCCTTTCCCTTGGCCATATTTGGAGCCTGTCTGGTCCCAGAGTATGGTGATTTCATGACCGTGATAGGCCACATTTTCGAGGGCAAAGTATTCCCACTCTGATGGAACTAATGGGTTGACGATGAGCGTATCGTCAGCTTGGCCTCGCAATCCCAACAATCCAGCCAAAATATTATCAATGAAGGTGGAGTGATTATAGTCCTCGCTGTGATTGTTTCCATCATACATCCATTTGTCTGCGTCAGGGTCGTGGGCCTCGGCCACATAAGGTTTGCCGTCTTTGTGTTGTGTGGCAGCATATCTTTCAAGTAGTGTGAAGTAATCACCAGACGTAATATAGGTTTGAGATGGGTAGTTATGCAACACATTTTCCACCGCGGTAAGAGTCTGGGCGGTTGCGAATGGCCACGAAGGGCCGTCCCAATGGCAGCAATTTGTTGCCTCATACATGTACCACTTGCTTCGTCTCTCAAGCGTAGTTGGCCCAAAGTCCGCGTCGAAGCCCTGGGAGTCTTTGAGGTGAGAAAATGCAGCAATATGCGTATCCACATTAGGCATATTGAACATCCAAGGTACATAGCCCATGATTTCACGATCAACAAGCAAGGCTCCTGAGGGGTTGTTGTCCCGTGCTCGATGTTTGAAAAATGTCTTTTCTTCGTCCCAAAGGTGTTTCTGCAATGACTCTTGCAAGTTGTTGGATAGAGTCGTGTATTTGTCAACTAACTCTCTGTCGCCCTTTAGAGATGCAATAGAGGCAATAGCTCGAGCATCGCCGTACTGGTAAGCATTAATCGTGGGCCGATACCCAGCTCCGCCATGATACGCCTCACCTGACTCGTAGGAAGCAGCCGTGTACTCGGAAGCGTCCCAAACAGGCACCTGCCAATAAAGCCCAAGAGACTCATTGAAGTGGGTATCCCAACCATGATACTGCTTAATGAGATTGTCCAATTGGCCGACGGTAAAGTCACGGTTC